CCCAACGGGGACTGAAGGGCACGTGACTTGCGTACGTGCCCGCCTAGACGTTAAATAGACACACACACACACACACACACACACACACTCATCCGCTCTTTTACGTTAAATAGACACACACACACACACACACACACTCATCCGCTCTTTTGACCGCTTTTGGTCCCGATTCCCCGATCCCGCACCCACCCCGCCTAGCCCAACCTCCAGAAAGGGTGTGTAGGGAGTCTCACCACTCAAAGCTTTATATAAAGCCCTATTTCTTTCTATTAAGTCAAACTTCAAGGCTTATGCGGGCTAGGTCTGTTAACCAGATTTACGTTTGAATACGAATTTAGAATCATAATACCCTGTAATTCGGACCTAGGGAGATCTCAGCCAAGCCCAAACTTACACTGTACCGTACTACGGACCTACAGCAGAGCCGCACCTTAAACTCACGACATCTTGTGGGAACATTGACACAGGCAACACTTTAACATAACAAGATCACGCAAACAATCAGGTATGCATCATTATATTATTGAATGGTACAATGGAACGAGTCTTTCTCACAGCACGTGTTCTTTGCTATTGCCCAAATCTGGTCGGCCGCTTTCAAAGCTACCTGCTCTTCGCTGTGTTAACGTGGCACTTCCAGAGTACCCAATTCTACTCGGCCGCTTTCAAAACCTGCTCTTCGCTGTATTGACATGGCACTTCCAGAGTACCCAATTCTCAGCCACTTTCAAAGCTACCTGCTCTCCGCCTATCGATGGGGGTACTTCCAGAGTACACGGCCGCTTTCAAAGCTATCTATTCTTCGCCGTATCGACGTGGCACTTCCAGAGTACCAGATTCTCGGCCGCTGGCAAAGCTACCTGCTCTCTTCTGTATCGACGTGGCACTTCCAGAGTACCAGATTCTCGGCCGCTGTCAAAGCTACCTGCTCTCCGCCTATCGGTGGGGTACTTCCAGAGTACCTCATTGTCGATTATTCCAAAATCTGTTGGAATCTTCCTTCGATGGCGCCCATCTTGGCAGTCTGTCCCCATAAAAGGCGTCATACTCGCGAGACAGGGCCGGATCACCATAGTTAGGGTCGTTCTTGCGAGGATCGTCGTCGGCGTAGCAAGCTGTCTCGAAGGGATTCCGTCTATGGGTAAATCCAGTCACTTCGCGTTCCTGACGCTTGCTCTGCATCGGGACGGTTGGTTCGGAGGAAGTATGACTTTCAGAAGCGCGGTCCAGTTGCGCATTCAGTCGTCGTGGTCTTGGGCGGGAAGTGTGCATACTGCCGCGCTTCGATACATTTGCGGAGCCAGTAAGTCTATCACTGGGTAGTCTAGGTCTCTTCTTGTCCCTATTACCCTCCTCCTCATCATCCCGAGACCGTTTTGATAGTCTGTTGATGTCGATTCCAAGATTTCGAGAACGTCCCATCCAATACGCTCTCTCTTCCTTCTTTTCCTATATCTCCTTCGCTCTCACGGCACGTTTAATAACGTTCAAGTCAACAGTGCCCATATCGTCGTACTCAGAGCCATCATCAAGATGGTCATCATCGTCAAGATGAATGCGGTTGCCATCATCAAGATGATTAGCTCGATTATGTCTTTGATTGTGCCCTGTGTTGGCATTAGATTCCGAAGACAAAGCTTCCGTTTGCGGCTGATTGCCACTGGAAGTTCCCCAGTTCTCTTGCATCTCTTCGTCACTCCAGCGATGATAGCCAATGGGTCTGGAGAACTGCGTGCCCAGTAATGATACCAACTGATCATTAGACATTGTCGACAAAAGGTCCATATTCTGCGAGAGAGACGTCAAGGGCGCCCACGCAGGCTCGGCGATAAACCCGCTTGCCTCCGGGCCATATCGCGACTCCTCGGTGTGACAACTGAGAGGGGCTTTTCTCTTCTCAATGAACTTTTTCATGTCTGTCGTTTTCCACGGATCCACTGGGGATACAACTGGTGCTTTGTTGTTTCGTTTGTGACACACGAATTTGTATGCGTCCCTTTTGGTCAATATATAAGGACAATTGATCAAATTGTGTCGATTCGTGTTGCATCGGTCTTTGGGACACGCGTCGAGGGAGCCGCCCCGCAAAGGTCTATGACAATCTTTTACCGTATGACCAAATTGGAAGCAATTGCCGCATTGTCGTTGTTCTACTGGGATCAACAGTCCTCTATCTTCAAGATCCTGAATGCGCTTTTCCGAACGATGTTTTTGGCTTTTTTCGCGTTTGCTCGCGTGTCGTCGGTCTTGTTCTCCTGCTAATCAGCACGTGTTTTATTCAAGAAGCAATTAAGGCCGACCTTGTTGCGACAATCGATGGATGGAACCGCGGTTCCCAGACGGTTCTCGCGTCATATCTGATAGTGTGTGTTGTTGGTCTTGTTGTTGTTGTTGGTCTTGTTGTTGTTGTTGGTCTTGTTGTTGTTGTTGTTGTTGTTGTTGTTGTTGTTGTTGTTGTTGTTGTTGTTGTTGGTTATCTAAATATCGAAGAGGCGGCGCGGTGGACAGAGTAAGTATCGCGACAGCCGAGGGTTAGTGCATAATAAGCGACGATGCCTTTGCTAACACCAAAGTATGCTACAAAGGAAACAAAATGATATTTGCTACCTTAAAGGTTTAGGGGTTATACTAAGGTGGGGGAAAGGATACTCGGCCATTGAAAACAGATTTGATTATTTAAAAAGGTAGTTACGAAGCGCGCGAGTCCTGTGATATCTGCTGGCTCGGTCAGGGGTATTGTAAGGCATATTGAGTCAGTATTCTTCTGTTGGTATGCAGGACAAGTTAAGACTTTCCGCGAGACATATATAGCCGGCGCTTCAAAAGTGGTCAAATAATATATCAAGCGGTACAGAGAAGAGAAGAGTGGCGAATCGGACAGATTTGTCATAGGTGGCTTGTAAGGCGGAGCCGCAAAAATAAGAGTAGAAATTCAGCCGTTCAGTTCTTCCAAATTTGGGAACAGCAAGTGATCACGGTGATCCAAGAGAAGAGGTGAGAAGGGCCTCCAGATTACTCGGAGAGCACTTTGTCATAAGGTGTAAGAGGCGTAGTCGTTACTCTGTAGACTCCTTTCTTAGAATGAAGTTATTCTGAAAGTATCGTATAACTAAAACAGTCATATAAAGAGTTTTTAATAATTGTTACCGGTTACTTTTGAATAGCTAGGTATACTAACATAATTATCTTACTTGTATTACAAGTTTAGTATAATGACATTTTATGTAATGTATACAGAGTAATGGCCACGTCTCTTACTGTAGTTGCTCTAGTCAGGCAATCGTTCCAAGCGAGTAGCGAATACTCAAAACTACCAGAGCTTAATTGTCCAATAAAAGGAATGATTGGGTGATCGTTCTAGGAAAGGAGGAGTGAAGAAAAAGACACATTCGATAAGAGACGTAGTTAAGACCGGGCGTCCCTTAAAGAGAAATACTCTATCGGTCCGAATAGATCAAGCCGAGAGCTGGGAATTGGGTCCTACCAAAACCTGGCACCCCTTTAGATTAGATTTGGTGGCCAGAGTAGCAATAAGGAAAGGCGAGCGGCGGAAGCGTATGCTAGGGGGTTAGTGGAAAGGGGCAAAAAAGCCAAAGGTGAGCTGCAAGTGCAAGCACGACGAATACGAGGGTACGTAGGTACAGTAATCAAGCTATTTGCCGGTCACTTTATTCTCGATTGGTTTATCTATCCCACTCTGATACTACCGAGAATATACACGATCCTGTATCTACGTCATATTGGGACTCACATTAAGTTCTTAGTTTTCAAATGTATCACAGTATCACATATTGATTAGAAGAACGCATTTCATTCCTCTAAAGTGAACTATGGCAAATTCCTCCAGGTCCAAGCCTCAAATTTGGGCGACGTTAAAATGTTAGGCCACATTAAGCTTCTCCACGGGGCTGCGCATCTCGAGGAGCAATTTTAAGATGACCCAGGTCATTCATCGACATCAAGCGTTCCTTCATCACTTTTGACCTCCCACTGGTCATCCGTCATCACTTTTTCTTCCTCTGTCATGGGCCGCGGCATGTTGGTGGGCCATATGGCACTGGGATCTATACAGTGTTAACACTTGAACATTAAGAGATACATAGGACACATACCGAATCTCCGAAGCATGTACTTGTCGAGAGCCCAGTTCGCACGGTGAATCTGGCCTTTGTACTTCTTCGTCGCGGCGGTTCTGGCTTTATCTAGAATTCTGCCGAGAACTTCATGTGCCCTCTCATTTCCCTCTGCTGGAATCTTATTGTCGTCGATTAATTTGTTGTAGATGGCGTTCAACTGGGATCTGTATACCCAGGATCTCGGCATCTTGATCGCGGTTGTGATTGTTGTTGCTGTTGCTGTTGTTGTGATTTTGGTTTGAGGAAGGGTTGAATGTCGCAAAGGTCTCAATGAATATGTGCGCGCATATTACGCTAGTACTAGCGTCATCTCAGTGCCTAGCGGAATCAAAAGGTCCGCGACAACTTAGTAATAATAGCCAGCATTCTACAATTCACTTCGAGGCAGCAAGAAAGACTCAAAGTTACCCGATTTTAGCCTAGATTAAGCGAAGAGAAAAGAGATTCAGAATACTACACAAAAACCAAGAAAGAAGATTCACAAGAGCAAGAGGTAATTCAAGAGAACATTCCTCAACTACCTTTTCCATTCATCGTAGTCTCCGCCGTAAATATTTCTAGAAGGTAATGGTTTTAGATTATCCTCGATAAATATATCACTATTTCGCTAGAATCTTGATATATTAATATAGTACTCTAGAACTTCTTCGAAGATCGAATAGAGACGTTTGTAGGGTAGTAGGTTTAGGTAATAATCTATTAGCTAATCTCGTTAGTAAACGCGCTTGACTTGACTTATAACTATACCATGGTTTAGCTCGACAATAAGATCTGATAATAAAGTAATAGTAGACATATCCCTTTGCTCCCTTGGTGGTGAGCTCCCGCTAGCTTTCTTATACTCTAAAGTAAGCTAAGTAGATATAATAACTTGGTCGAATTAATACTTAGACCCTTAGACACCTTCTCTCGTTAGCTACTTTGTTTTACGGGGAAAATATAGTAAAACTAGAGACTTTTACTATACTTTAGGTGCACGTTTTTTTGTCGCTCTCGTATCTGGAAGGGATTTATATGAAAAAAGACACTTAGATACCCTTACTATTATTACTACTACCCGTGTCGCATTCTATATTACTCTACACGTTACTCTCTTTATTAATTCTGTTAGTTTAACTCTAATTTAATAGAGCCGAAAGATAATAAGGAAAGTATAATACAAGGCTAATAGTTTAGTATCGAATATATTATATTATAAAGACTATTAGTTATATACACCGAGTAAAGGTATTACAAGTGCTACTACTATTATATAGTAGTACTTAGTACTAAGTACGGCACGTAAGTAGCCTTAAGTAGTATTCACTTATACTAATACTAGGCTAACTTTAAAAGACAAAGAAGGCTATACTTATTTAACGTACTAACTAAATAACTAGCTATTCTTAGTTCTTTAAATAATATAAAATAAAACCTTATTTTATATAACTTAAGTTAAAAGAAACTCTATAAGTTAATATCTTTCTAAAGAACCTATTTAATATCCTCCTTCTCTACTCTAATCTTTCTATGTTTAAGTTATCTATAAAATATAAGTAAGATATATTACTATCTTCTAAGTTCTAAGTTAAGTGTCACGAATCACGTGTAGCAATGCATGTGACAAAGGAAGTCCAGGCGGCGTCCTGACAGAGATTTCTTCTGGTTAGAAAATCACGTGATCTAGTCGCCTGAGTCGCCTGTCTACTGAAGCGATCAGGGTGAGCAACTAGAGCGATCAATCAGAGAACGAAGGTTCTTCTAGTCGCCTGAGTCGCCGGTCGACTGAAGCGATCAGGGTGAGCGACTAGAGCGATCAATCAGGGAACGAAGGTTCTATATAAGACTGGCACGAACGTCTGCCATTAGATAGGAGCTTCGTGCTCAACTTAGTTATCAATCTTATCATATTAGTTTGACATCTTTGATACAAGTAACGAGTTCACTTCCAAGTGAACAACCCGATAGTCTTCTTCTTATCATAGCATACCAACCAGCGAACACCCAGCCAAGTTTAGTTAGCCAGTTTGAGTATTCGTTATACCCGTCCTAAGACCGTCTAAGAACCGTTCAAAAAGCGTTCGAGAACTATTTAAGAATAATTCTTAGACTATCTATAAATTAGACTATTAAAATAAAAGATTATTATAAATTAAAGACTATTTATAAATATAATTATTTTAAAATTATTTAATATTAAAATATTTATTTATTTAAACTATTATACTTTTAAATAGTCTTAAGGCTATTTTATATCTAGATAGTTATAAATTTAAAACTATATACCTTCTAAATAGTCTTATATTAGTTTAAAATCTAAAATATTCTTTTAAATAAATAGTTTTTAATTAAAATAGTTACATAATTTTAAATTATCTAGAAATAGTTTTATAATAGTTTCCCTTTTATATAACTATCTAAAAAACTCCGCTTTCCCTTCTAAGGTAGCTAATAATAAATTCGTATTAAAATCCTAAGAATAAAAGGTAAAACCTCTATTACTATAATAGCTTTAATATCTAGTGTCGAGGAATCGAAGTTATCTAATCTATACGCGTACTTATACTAATTAGTATTAGTTTAACTCAAGTTAATAGAGTCGAAAGATAATAAGGAAAGTATAATATAAGGCTAATAGTTTAGTATCGAATATATCGTATTATAAGGACTATTAGTTATATACACCGAGTAAAGGTATTACAAGTGCTACTACTATTATATAGTAGTACTTAGTGCTAAGTACGGCACGTAAGTGGCCTTGAGTGGTATTCACTTATACCGACAGATTCATTGCTAGCTATTCCCCGTTATCAGTTCCTTCCTCCTCAGTAGTTGCGTCCTCGTTATTAATTCCTTCCTTGCTATCAGTTCCTTCCTCATTGTCATTTCCCTCCTCCTTATGAGTTCCCTCCTCGTCATCAGTTCCTTCCTCGTCATCGGTTGCGTGCTTATAGGGTGATTCTACGTGCCGAACAAATGGAGTAAACCCGATATCGACTTCTCCGATGTAAATTTGAGGCGCATTCCAACCATCATTCTGTCTCTTAATATGGTCAAACCACATGTTAAGTAATTCATCCGTAATATATGATTCGACGTCTTGTGCCCAACCATTAGAATATGAAAGAAGCCCGGGCTCGAAATCAGTTTGCCATGTTCCAGGCGTATATTTTCGCCAAAAATAATGGGTGTATGGTGGGGTTTTTTTGATATCCCGAAAAAAACCTCGTCGTGGTACAAAATCGGGTGTCTCGCAGCTGGATTTTATATCCATCCATTGAAAGATTTCAGCGCAATATCCCGAAATCACTGTTTCTGTTTCTAGAATTGTACCGTTTCGGTTAATGGCTTTTCCTTCTGGATGTTCGGTCACGAGCTTGACAAACGCATCAAGTCCACATCCCTCCCACGAAAATACCAGTTCTTTGACTCTTCCCAGATTGAGGAGTCCATAAGCCAACTCCTTAAAGTAGAAATCGGCATTCCAACTCCCTTCTATGCCGCCCCGCAAGACAGTAATGCGGCTAATCTTGGGAAGACAGTGCGGCTCGACCCAGTGTAGCAATCTGTCGCCTCCTGGACCAGTGCCAAGTTCGAAAATGATATCGTCGAGTGTAGGATTGAAGTAGACACACTCATGGTTAGGATCGGGCAGTCGAATGTCTCTAGGAGCCTGCACGTCATAGAATTGCACTCCGATCATGGCTGCGCGAAACTCCTTGTTTACTTGTAAGACAGCTGGGAGGTCATCAAAACATTCTGCAGCCCATTGTCCGTTTTGGTGGGTGACAACAATGGTTCGTTTCTCGGCGGCCAAATGAAGGATCTCAATCTTCAACTCCTTCGGCAAATCATTGAAACCAAGGCGCTGCGTTGGGGTTCTGAGATGTACATTGGCATGTCCGGAAACGGGTTTCTTTCTGTTGGTGGTGCTTGATTCGGTGCTAGTGGAGGATCTTGGGTGCGCATTAAGTAGATGATTACCTAGAGCTTATTAGTTAAAGTTCTGGGTGTTTCTTGAAAGATTCAGACTCCATCACTCACCTCTATGAGTTGCGTAGGCGGTCATAACATCTTGGGCTCCGAGTCCTGGCCGTGCTTCATCCATTCTCCATCCCATCAATGGATATCTTGTACCAACTGTTCTCCAAGTTCTCTCGGGCCTACGGATTCCCTCGAAGGGAATGCGGGGTTCGATGGGGGTATTGACTGGCTCCATGGATGAGTTTCTCTAGTGGAAGAGGTGCTTGATCTATTTTTGTGTGGCTCTCTGTAAGTCGGTGGATATGTGTACTTTTGATGGTTTGCGGGGACAACAGGATGTGACTTATAGTTGTGGATAGCCTCGAGCATGCGGGGAAATGGAGGCTCGCATTTTGAACATGCCGCCGTGAATAAAACATGGAGTGTGGGTGAATGTGAAGGTGGTGTCCATTACCTTGACTACCTTTGAAGTGACCGCAATTGACTGAACTACCCTTAAGCTGATTTGGAAATCCTTAAATACTCCTTGTGTAATTAGGTATTAACAGGACTACCCTTTACACTCGAGAAAAGGGGTAGTCTTGTTGGTATCGCTTCAGAGATACGGTATTTCTATCAGTTAATATTGACTATTTTATATAAGTTATATATATCTACAACTACAAGTATCTCTAGTGAATCAATACTACCGCCACTTCTACAACATTACATCTACTAGTACTACTGCCGGTATACTAGCTATATGCTAAGCTACGTAATAACCCTCTAGAAACTCTTCGAAATCTCAGAAGATAGCTAGCGTAATGACAAGAGGCTTAGGAATAAGGATGAACTATCTAATAAATACACCACTATGTTGAAAATATGGGAACGGGGAAAGGTGTAGAGGTTAGACACAAAAAACAACAACAAAAATATTGCTATAATACTCGATATCAGAATCGAACTGATGACTCTTCCCAGGCCACCCGGCATTCAAGCTAATGTCAGAACAATTAGCTTGCTGGTCGTGTCAAAACACATCCAGCACCGGATTAAGAGGGAAGCGTTTTACCACTAGACTAATCGAGCCGTTTTGTTTTTATTTGAAAATGATATACTTATTTCAAATTATGAAATATACGGAAATATATCGGTACGAAGATACAACGATATATTAATAATATATATAGCCTCTAAGTAAACAAAACAAGTACTATTATGGCGTCTCTACTTTCTCTTTTACATCCTTACTATAATATAGAAAATAATAGATAATCTAACTAAAGTAAGATACCTAGTTATAACTCTATATATACTATATAAAAAGCTATTATAACAAACTTCCAGCACAAGTGAAAAAATCGTATTAGTATACATAGGCCAATAAAGATAAAGCGGTAACCATTTTTCTAAACTCTTTATAGAACTATTTTAGTTATACGATTCTTTTAGAATAATTTTATTCTAGGAAAGATGCGTATAGAGTAACGACTACGTCTCTTACTTATTACTTTTCACGCGAAGCTACGGGCCAAAATTTAAGGTTCAATGATTCTTTATCTAGTAACGTCAACAGAAATAACAATATCAGCTAGTAAATCTTCTCTCTCTGTGTCTCTCTCATACGGCCTCTCTTCTATGCCTGAATGCATCCATTCCATATCCAGCAAGTTTTGGAAACTTCAGGTATCTATCTTCAGCCCCCTCTGCACCTCTTTAATCATGCCACGACGTAATGACCCAGCCTGCTAACGCTACGGCGCTGATATAGAAGTGATAATTCCATTCCGTTCGCCACGAAGCACCCGCCCGGATCTGAGATCAAAATCACGGTCTTCGGTCGAGCTCATAAGACTGCAAGAGTACGCATCAAGCGTACCGAAGCAAGACTCAGGCGGCGGATAATGGCATGGGTACATGCTATCCGCAGAATGGGGGTCTTCAGCACGAGTTTCCCCGGCGCAATGAGGCAAAGCCAAATGGGCGAGTGTAAATCTTGGAAAAAGTGACAACAGTCACACACAAAACGCAATTACTTGCCCGCTGGTCCAGTTGGTGCCGAAGCTGGGGCTTGAGTGCCATTACCTCCTCCATTACCACCCCCACGAGGACCACCTCTTCCACCTCGTCTTCCCACAGTTCCACCTCTGCCTCCCCGACCTCCACGAGAAGGTGCATGAGGTACTTGATGGGGTTGATGAGGCTGATGGACAGGTTTCTTCTCCGGGGGTAAAGCCGTTCCCTTTCTCTGCATAACTTGGACGGTGCCTTGAGCAACAGAGATGGGATTCGCTGCCATGGCTTTCTTCAAACCCGCAGAGTCAATGAAATCAACATAGGCAAAGCCCTTGCGTTTGTCGATTTCTACCATGGATACAGCTCCAAACTTTTCCAGTGCTTCTTTCAAAAGAGGTTCTGTTACGCCCTGAGAAGGATTTGCATGTTTGATAAAAGCCTGAGTTGCACCGTCAGAGGGAACTGCAGTATTTTGCGGTTTCCGATGATTATTGGCTGGGGCTGGTTTTGTTGGCTGGGCGGCAGTTGGCGTAGTCGGTGTAGCCGGGGCAGATGGTCTAGGGTCGGGTTTCTTTAACAATACAACAGGGCTAGGTTGACCAGCAGGGGCTGAAGAAGCTGTAGCAGAATTCGATCCTTTGCTCGCTGCTGTCTCTGTCGAGGATGATCCAGCTTTCGCTCGTGATCTTCGACTATTAGGTTGCGCGGCAATAGCCTTTGGTGCGGTTGGGACAGTTGGTGATTGAACAGCTGGAGTGGACGTTTCTTTCGTCTCGGTAGTTTTGGCAGCGGCGGCGGCTTTTTCTGCTTTCTGTGCATCTGCTGTATCACGCCGGACTTGACGATGGGCTTGAGCTGGGCTCAATCCAAGATCTCGCTGCAGCATTCTAATATGAGCCGCAATAACAGCACCCCGTTGCCTGCCGGGAACTCTGCCAAGATCAAGCTTTGGGTGAGAGTTTGAATCTGAGCTTGACCCTCCGTTCTTTGATGCTTCGGCTATGCCAGCCACTTTAAGTGAGGCTTCTCGGTTCAATATCTTAACTGCTTCCTTTGCTGCTCTCTCAACCGACTTTTCAATCTTGCCATCCTTTCCTTTTCTCTTGACGTCTTCGCTCTCTTTCACGGATTTTCCTTTGGCAGTATGAGCCTCCTGTTTCTTCGCGGCCTTAACTGCTGCCTCTTTATGTTTGTTGGCTTTCTTGTCCTTCAAATACTGAACCAATGGAGTGGTCGTGACCTTTTCCGGTTTTCCTGATGTTCCTTCTCCAGCTGCATCTGTATATCCTTCTTTTGAAGAAACAGGATTTGCCAGACCTTCGAGAAATGCCATGAATTCCGGGTCTTGGTCAATCGTTCCAGCTCGAGCATCTACCCTACGTCTTCCACCTGGAGTTCGGCCGTAGGGAGCAAACTCGACACTGGGAGGACCAACGAGGCAAGAATTTGTGAATGTGTTCTGGGCATCTTCGAAGACGGAATTACGAACAGTATCGGAGAGGGTCATAAGGTGACTTTCATTGGTCAAGTGTAGGTAAGCGCGCGAGGGACGAGAAGGTTTCGATGGACTTCAACGATCGAAAGAATTAGGTTATGGTAGATCAAATGCATGAGCAAAGAACTCACTCTTTGGAATCTTTTCCATTCTTGTAAAGGAAATAATCGACTTTTCCTTTCGCCAATTTCCACTCGTCTCCCAAAACCGAGAGGAATTCTGCTTCTGTGAGGGCTGGAGGAAGTCTTCGAATGACGACCTTCAGCTTGGGAGCTGGTGGCTTTGGTCCTGGTATTTTCGAGGAGTGATTTCCTGCTGCAGTCTGAGTCTGCGATGCTGGGACAGGAAGTAATCCATTTGCCTGCGACCGGCCGCTGCTTGCAGAAGCTGATGCTACCATGGTGGTACAGCGACGGGCACACCTGTTCACGATGATGCTGATTCTTGAAGGTCCTTTCCGGGATTTGTAGTTTCAAGAAAAAGCAGTGTTGGGTGTCAGATCGGACCCTCCAGCTTTGGGTGCAAAGGAATGATTCATAGGTACTACTTTAGGCGCACCTTCCTTACATCCCGCCAGTGAAGTTATTTTGATAACGGATAAGGATTTCAGCCTAAATCCTAAGGTCATAGTTCCCGTGATTTGTGGGTCCAAAAATAGCTGGAGTATTGTGGGGCAGACCTGGCTCCATGGGTCCTTGCTTGGGGTCTTCACTAACTTGGAACGTCAAACCGCATACAAAGAATCAACCCCACGCCGTCGACTTTCGAATTTCGAAGCTATCAAAGCCTCAGATCTTACCCATTACCTCGCATATATCCAAAAATCGACGAAAATGGCACCACCTGTCCCCAAACCCGGCCCAGCGAAGCTATCTAAGAATGCGGCGCTACCAGAATGGCTGGAGCAGGCCAAACTATGCCGATACTTGCCAGAGAGTGTGATGAAGCAGCTATGTGAGATTGTAAAAGAGTGTTTAATGGAGGGTGAGTGGTTCTCTGTGTGATCTGTGCTTGCCTGGAAGCATCCGGCGCTGACTTGCCCTATGAAGAGTCAAATATTCAGCCCGTTACAACGCCAGTGACCATTTGTGGAGATATCCATGGCCAATTCTACGATATCCTCGAGTTATTTCGTATCGCAGGTGGCATGCCAGGCGAGGAGAACGTACAAGCGCCTCTCACAAAGTCTACCGCGATATCCTCTGATGACATCGAACCCCCCACCGAGATTACGGATCCTAAATTAAAGAGAAAGATTCGCAGTGGTGATAGTGGTATCGAGAGCGCAAGTGGGGAGGATGATGATCAGGAAGAATTTCGAGGTCGACCGAGAACTGCTGGACAATCTAGTCGTGGTGGAAGCACTGGTGGTGATTCAGCTATTGGCGGTGTAAATGAAGTTTCCGGCAACGGGAACCAAAATTTCATTTTCCTTGGTGATTTTGTCGATCGTGGATACTTCAGTTTGGAAACCTTTACCTTACTGATGTGTTTGAAGGCCATGTCAGTAGCTGAACAGCTTGCATTGATACCCCACTAACATTTCCGAAGGTACCCAGATAAAATCACACTGGTTCGCGGGAATCACGAATCCCGTCAAATCACTCAGGTCTACGGTTTCTACGAAGAATGTCAACAGAAGTACGGCAATGCCTCAGTGTGGAAGTCTTGCTGTCAAGTTTTTGATTTCCTCGTTCTGGCAGCTATTGTTGATGGAGAAGTTCTTTGTGTTCACGGTGGCTTGAGTCCTGAAATCCGCACAGTTGATCAAATCCGTGTTGTCGCTAGAGCCCAGGAAATCCCTCATGAAGGAGCCTTCTGTGATTTGGTTTGGAGTGATCCAGAGGACGTTGATACTTGGGCAGTTTCCCCTCGGGGTGCTGGTTGGCTATTCGGAGACAAGGTTGCTACAGAGTTCAATCATGTCAATGGTTTGAAACTGATCGCTCGTGCTCATCAACTTGTCAATGAAGGATACAAGGTAAATAATCTCACTTCTGCTTGAAATTATTTACCTAATATGACCTAGTATCACTTTTCACAAAAATCAGTAGTCACTGTCTGGTCGGCACCAAACTACTGCTACAGATGCGGTAATGTGGCGTCCATCATGAACGTCGGCGAAGACCTGAACCCCAAATTCAGCATCTTCAGTGCCGTTCCTGAAGATCAACGAGCCGTCCCAGCCGGCCGTCGTGGCGCTGGTGAGTATTTCCTGTGATTGGTTACCTTGTAGATGGAAAAAGATACCCAAACCTGGCGTTCGTGGTTTTCATGGTTGTTCATGATTGTTGTTTGCATATATGGGACTTGGGCGTTTGTTACGACTTGGGATGAAAAATGTACATCACGAAACGGGGAACGTTTTTGGAATTGTGGGCTAAATGTAGTATAACCACATATTACAGTACGGGAGGTTATTAATTACAAATTCTATCGAAAATGCTCCTGAGAAGGAAGCTTGGTTTCGATCTTTTAACCTGGATTGATTTAACTGCTCGTAATTTCCAGTTTACGGATCCAATTCTCGATGAAAAGGACGAGTCAATTTTGAGCAGCCAATCCAGTGGCAATAGATATGTATTTTGTGCGTTCTAGTTGAGTCCGTGTAGCGTACTCTTAAGGGATGTCGTGAAAATGAGGGGCCCTACTAAAAAGTGCCCCTATAACATTTGGCGGGGTTCAGGCTACTTACCCACTTCCGATCTCGGTCATAATCTTGCAAATTGTCAACCCTTCGACAAACCTCTGAATACCTGATTTATTCTTGCATTTCCTCTGCGATTTCTTCAAATAATTTGATACGATGACTTCAGCCACCCAAGTCGGACTCAATACTCCAGCAGGAAAGGCTGAAAAGCCTGAAGATACCACTCACACCCCATCGCAAAGGTATCTTTCCACCAGAGGGGGCTCCTATGGAGTACGACTGCGCATTTTCTTTCACTTCTCAGCACTGTATTGCTAACTTGTAGCAGCTATCATTCGAAGAAGTTGTATTGAAAGGTCTAGCATCGGACGGCGGACTTTTCATCCCAGAAACAATACCCTCACTTCCCAGCGACTGGGAATCAAAATGGCAGAACCTTTCCTTCCCAGAACTCGCCCACGAAATCCTCTCCCTTTACATCTCAACCTCCGAAATCCCATCTGCGGACTTGAAAGATATCCTCGGTCGAAGTTATGCCACGTTTCGCGCACCGGAAACGACCCCACTGGTCACATTGAATGAGAAGGATAATTTATACCTACTCGAACTCTTCCACGGTCCAACGTTTGCCTTTAAAGATGTCGCTTTACAGACACTGGGAAACTTGTTTGAGTACTTTTTAGTGCGACGGAATAAGGGGAAGACTGGAAAGGATAGACATCATCTTTCAGTGGTAGGCGCAACGAGTGGTGATACTGGGTCCGCTGCGATTTACGGTCTACGAGGAAAGAAGGATGTTTCTGTCTTCATACTATTCCCAAAAGGAAGAGTTAGTCCTATACAAGAGGCGCAAATGACTACGGTTTTAGATGCCAACGTACACTGCTTGGCTGTAGAGGGGTTCTTTGATGATTGCCAGGTGAGTCATGGCCATACTATTGCGCAACATCGATCATTGCTAATTTTCATAGGATACAGTAAAAGCGCTCTTCGCAGACCCAGAAATTAACGAGAAGCTCAACCTCGGAGCTGTCAATTCCATAAATTGGGCTCGAATTCTCGCTCAGATAACATACTACTTTCACTCCTATTTCTCGCTCAAAAAGTCGCCGACATACAAGGCAGATCATAAAGTTAGATTCGTGGTTCCTACCGGAAACTTTGGCGATATTCTAGCAGGATACTTTGCCAAGCGCATGGGTCTTCCAGTCGAGAAACTTGTAGTCGCAACAAACGAAAATGACATCTTGGACCGATTCTGGAAGACTGGACACTATGAAAAGAAGCCAGAGCACGGCGTAAAAGCAGAAGGCGGACTCGCGGAAGATGGGGCAAAAGCACACGAAGTTGGTGTCCGAGAAACCCTGAGTCCAGCAATGGATATTCTAGTTTCCAGCAATTTCGAACGGCTACTATGGTTCCTGGCGTACGAATACGCAGCCGGAGCAAACATGAACGAGGAATGGACGAAGCAGCAAGCCGGTCAAGAAGTAGAGTCCTGGTTAAAAGCCCTCAAAACAAAAGGTGGATTCGGAGTCAATGCTGAAATTCTATCATTGGCGAAGAGAGACTTCGAAAGTGAAAGAGTCAGTGATGAACAAACTGTTACTACAATCAAAGAATTCTATTCTTCCCCTCCTGCGGGGTCCAAAGAATATGTTCTAGATCCCCATTCGGCTATTGGTGTTGCTGCCTCTTTACGATCGATTCAAAGGACTACACCAGCTGATACTCATCACATCTCTCTGAGTACTGCGCATCCCGCGAAGTTTGCTGGCGCTGTTGATTTGGCGTTGAAAAGTGAGAAGGGATTCACATTCGACTCGGTACTTCCTAAGGAGTTTGTAGGATTGGAGAGTAAGGAGAGGAAGGTACTGAATGTTACTAAAGGTTCAGGGTGGGAGGGGGTTAGAAAGGTTGTGGTGGATGAGGTGGAGGCTGAGTTGAGTGCAGCTTTGTAGGTGCTGATGGATTTCTTTTCTGTAATTGGAGTATTGGGCTGGGCTTTGGCGGTTTAGATGAAATGAATGAGATGAGATTGTGTTTCTTTGCACGTTCTAACGGGGTTCTTGCAATCTTGTCGTTGTGCCATACTCCGTAGAGAGGGAAAGGACCTCTTCCCCGTCTTCATCCTCATCCCCTCACTGTTAGAGAAAGAGCTGCCACATTTAGTGTAAGTGTAGTGTGGTAGTACAGCAATCCACCCTCCAGGGTCAATATGTCGTCATCTTCCTCACATTTCCTCACCTACTTTTCCAAAACTCTCTCCCCAAATTCCCAATCAAGAGCTATCACTTTGAATGAGGCATTTTTCCCTCTCTCTCAACTCTCCTTCTCGGTTCTGGGGAAGGCGGCGAATACTAGCTTAACAACACATTTCTCTGAGCCAGCCAGCCAGGCTGTTTTCTTGTGATGTTGTGTGTATCTGGGTCGGATGTGCTGCACGCGATCCTGGTCCTCGGGGGGCGTATTTTGTAGTGGGAAGGCTGAGTGAGAGAGATGGTAGGGGATGGTGGATTGGAATAAGCCTCCGGAGTTGATGGACTTGGATCTGGTAGAAATTGGGTTTGGAGCAGGGTGGTGTGGATATGGAGGGGGGACGAGGTGGTTAGATTGTTGATTCTGGAAGGTAATATGGTTTGTTATTTGTGTTTTTTTCTCTGATATTGGTAGGTAGACAAGATCCATAGTTTCTATCAACCCGTCTGGGATTCGCGGGTGTGTCTCCCGAGGTTGAGAGGGGTGATATGAGTTCTGCAACTTGTGATATAGCACACTGGACGGACCTAGAAGCCGGTCAATCACATACCCCGCAAAACCCACAGATTGGGAAACTACCCACTTATATAAATCATGAGTGTGCTTTTCTGACTTGTCTTATCCCTCATCCTCAGCCTACCTAGTCTTTAAATCGTTACACAGCGTAGATACGCCACCACGGGCAGGGCAAGAAGGAAATCTGGTAATATGGGTGGCATGGGATGGGGAACGGAGATATTACCCTTACCCGTCGAGCACGTATGGAGGGGAAACTGGTTGTGTATTAACTGCGGCAGCCAAGTTAATTTACGAGATGCTTTGGGGGGTGTGAAGAAGTTTGGTAAGGTGGGTTGCAGTGTTGACCGCTGTTAGGTAGGTGGTTCTGGATGGGGAATGTTGTACCGGGGTTTGGTTGCTTGTTTTGATTTTGATTTTAGTTTTGATTTTCTGGGGTTGGTTGATATATGGGGTTGATGGAGTTGATGGGGCTTCTGGAGGGTTTGTGTTTGTACGAAGTACTTCGTAATCAGGTCCTTGCTTTTGTGGGATGCGCATGCGAGGGAGACAGTTCAGTTTTTGGCCTGTGGTTTTGTTTCTTGTACTCGTACTTCGTACAAGTAGAAGTACATGTGGAACTATGGTGCATTGTGGGACGCGTGTACGAGTGGATCGTGCTGTTATTTTGGTGTCGTAATATGGGGAATGTTTGGAAACATGTTTTATTAAGGGTCGGAAGAATGGTGTACCGGCTAAGTACTTCTGGGTTTGTCCCAGGCGTAATACTTTGTACCTATATAGTATTCTTAATTAAGGATATAACCGAGGTTATCCTTACGGAAAGGTTTTAGTATATATAGCGATAATAATATATATTTAATTACTACGTATATAGTATAACTTAGTACCTTATAGTACAAAGAGAGACTAGTACGATTGGAATAATACTTGATTCTTATTTTGAAGTTCTAGTTTAACAACTAGAAGTTTATAATTATATATAGAAGTACTATCTTCTCGAGACTTATATAATATGAGAATAAATATAGGGTTATTTTAGATATAAAAAAGATTCTGGGATTAAGAAAACTAAGGATGTTTTTATACTACATGTAAAGATTGCCACTTGAATGTTACTAAAACAAATTGGGGCTAGGGGAGTTAAGAACATAAACTAAGGTATCCTTGATTCCTTGTAGAGCATATCCCAGTATCGAGGTTTACCTGTATCATAATTTCAGCGTGCCTTTGTCAACCTGGAAAAGGTGACAGCTGTACCAAGCAACGCCAGGGAAGAAATACTTCGACGCATAAGGAAGTGACGGTAAAGTTATCTGAAGGTTCAAATCCGAGTAAGGTTAACGTTAAGGTGAAACTACACATCAAGGTTGAGGTGAAATGCTCCGAAGTATAAGCGAGGTTAAGGTTATCTGGGCGAGCAGGTGATTTGGACGATGTTTATAAGACGCTTTATACTTTCGTATATACCGGTAGTTTGATGAGTGATACCCGTTGTCTGTTGGTGTACTATATAGCATAGTTGATATTATTTCTAACGGTTTCTGAATAATCCAAGTACAAAAACTGAACTTTGCGAGAAGGCATGTCTCGAGATTGTTTGGGATTTCGGTTGGGGCATTTTCTCCCTATGTCGTGAGGTATACTACAATAGTGATGAAATAATCTTCTCTAATTTTGATAGTATTTTAAGGTTCATGCTGCATCAGTTCCAACAGCTTCAGCGTTAGGGACAACTAAAATATAGATGTAGATAATTCTGATCATTTTTGAAGAATGAGGGAACGGAGAAAAGTATTTGCTTTATGGGCGCTGATGAGTTTAAAATGGGTCTTACGGCGTTCGTTGGGAATTTATAAGTCGTCGTCCAGGTTTTCTGCTGTCCCTCAAAGACTTTCAGTTGAATTAAGTTATTAGGGACTTCTCCAGACAATCGGAACCTGCCGCATTTGATTGTCGAGTTCCATTTTGGGGAAAGTAAACAAAGTGAAAGGGTGATCCCCAGACCTTTGGCGAATAATATGCTCGCTGTCTAAGAGCGATCATTAAATGAGAATATTACGATCGCTCGGCTCCCATTCTCTTTACAATGTTGATCGGAAATCTTTCTTCTCCGTGAAAAAGCTTAATCTTTGATCAAGAAAAAGGCTGTATTGCGGATGTGGTCTAACAGATGAAGTAGGTTATACAGTGTCAATTGTCTATCTACTAAGCTACCCAGTCCCGGGTCCAGGATTCGATTCATTATACTTATAACCCCTCCTACATCCCTAGTTCCATATCCCCACTCTGATATTGCCACTGGGATGATGCGAAACTGGTAGCTAAAGTATAACTACAAAGTTGCGACTAAACAGACCCCTGCGGCGTTACGTCGACGTCTGGGATAACGGATTTCTTCAACGAAGAGCTGTAGAGAACGGGAAATATATAAGGAGTCTGATCTGCCTGCTTTTTCGTCTGCAATCAATCAATCAATCAATCAATCAATCAATCAATCAATCAATCAATCAATAAATCAATCAATAAATCCCTCAATCATTCAATCTCACCCAATAAAATCCTGGTGATTTTCCCATCAACTCAATCCTCCACAATCACTCAAACAAAACAAGCATCCTCAACAAACCAAATCAAACAAAATGAAGCTTTCCATCCTCCTCACTTTCACTCTTGCCTCGTTAGCTATGGCGGAATCCCGCCCATTACGCCCATTACGCCGCGCATCACAGGAATGCAAAGATCTCTGTGATTCAAAGTGTAAAAATGTAAGCCTCTCATCACAGAAAGAGACACAGAGAAAGATTCAAGAATCAGGATCCTAATATTCAACGCAGGGATGGGACCAAGCGAACTGCTGTAAAAAGTTAAATGACTGTTGGGCTTGCCAATGCAAGCAATAGAGTGGTCATGGGAAACGGAGGGAAGATTGTGAGGAATGATCAGAGACTGTGTTCTAGGAAAATTGGGAATAATGTTTTATGGATGTACATATTGCGACTTACACACACGTGTTAATAAGCACCTTATTTCACTTTTGAGTATTTGTGAAACTAAGTTAATGCTACTGAAGTTTTTACCTCTTCCGCCGTTCGCTACAAAATGGAAGACGGTAGCCTACTAGACCTTGTCCAAGGCCGCGTAATAGATGTTCTCTGGCATTGAAATTAGCATGATGACTCGTATCTAGCCACCTTCACGTAAAATCTATTCCTTAAGCGCTGGGTTAGGTAAAGATGAATCATTTAGCGCTTTCCCCCAATCGCAGCCTTGTGTGATGGCGCTTCCTCCTCCACTTTCGACGACTTTATTATCTCTGCCTAGACGTCCGGCTCTTCGACCGGCGGCTGATATACATAGCCCCCAAGTGTGGAAAGAAGCGACAATGTCCGCGCGTCCAAGACTGATGTTGTTGGGATATCGTAATGTGGTTGGCAATGCTGTAGCCCGATTGTGGGAGGATTCAGCCTTGCTTACGCTTTTCCTTTCACCAGAAACGACATCAAAACGTCAAAAGGGAAATTACGGAATCTTCCATCCATTAGTGATGAGAAGGCGTTACACACATGGTGTTCTGGTGAGCATTTCTGTGAGCTCCAGGGGGTGGAGTTGAAACAGCCACACTTGTGCCGCAAAAGATATTGGATATGGGAAAAGGGCTATGAATGATGTGTTCTTGTGATTCGTCCAAGCCACATGGCTTTTGGATGAGCCTCGTCTGAACCCACTCTCCCCTTTTTGGTTGGTCCGCTCGTGGTACATAATAAAAGCGGCAAACCCATGCATGGTTCTAATTTTGCGGCGGTGCTTGAGAAAATGGCGTAGATTGGAACGCAACATGAGAATATAGCATAATCAGAGATTTCATATTATGTTTTATCAAAATAACGTTCGGCGATTGTAAATACCTGTAAAAGTCGCTTAAATTATCCGCTAAAATTGTTTACTGCTGCTTTAGCGAGGAAAGCCCGCTGTGGCTCAGCTCTTCGTTTCTCCCTACCTACTTCGTACAATCCCAACATCATCGCCCCCAACGCACCTAATTACCACTTCCATATCTTTTAATTCGTCCCTGATTATCTCTTTACTCATATCTGTCACTGTTCATTATGCTGACCCTTTCCTGAAACACCTGGTGCAAGTCCAACGATACCGTTCGGGATTAAGATATCTTCACAGACAAGGCTCCAGGACTTGTGCACCCCTGGAAAAGCTGATGCATGCTCTACGCCCTCATGAAAAGCTTTCTGCATTCGGAATAACGCTATACCCTTTTCTCATCTCCTTGTCAGCAGCCAACTAGCCTAGCGCATCCCAAACCCTACCGAACTTTTGCATCTCTCTTCCAACCTTGAAGCCGCGTTGGAAAGTCGGTAGTATCTACGTCTCTTGGCTTTGCTGCATACACTCGAAGAGGGGTTGGCTTAAAGTAGGATGAAATATCTCCCCACTTTATACCCCTCCATTACCCTCCAGTATGGAGAAAGACCGACGGAAGAACATGCAATTAAGAGAAGTTCGTCAAAGTGTTGCCAGCCTCATTTTCTTTCACCGTATTTACCTCCCCCTCTTTTCAGACCCCACAGTAAATTGGACTTGAAATTTCTCAACCATCGGCACGGGTCCACCGAGCATAGCCTTTCCTCTCAAGTCCCCGGCTCACCGAGAAACTCGTCGTGTGAGAGAACATGGCGGCTTCTTACAGTCATGTGGGAAATCGCAAGGCGTTTCCTAATACTCATTGCTAGCCCAAAGGCCATGTAGGCACCTGTCCAGGGTTTCGAGCCATTTACATATACTTGCTATCCAATGCTATCTCCTTTCTGCATGACATCCAGAACCTGCAGATATATACTGAGCTGCTACCACCCTCCCCATTCTGGACCTTCATCGACCACTAAATACCAACCAACAATATTTGCAGTCCATTAGAGCCACATCACGAATCCACTTCAGACGCTTTACCCACCACTAAAAATCTGCTTGGAGACTTATTGGTCTTAACGTCAACAATCCGAATCATCTCCCGTACCAATTGACAGTATGTCGCCGCAATACTTCTTCGAGCGAGACAGACGAGGAAGAGAGCGTGTTGTGAGGGAGGATTTTCGATCAAGAAGCAGAACATTTGGTTCACCACACCGTCGTGACGACTTATCTGAAGCACAAGAACGGATCTCGGTTCTAGAGAGTGAGCTTGCAACTTGTCTGGACCGGCTTTCTCGGGCGGAAGCAAGAGTTTATGAAATGAACGGCAACAACCAGGACATTAGGAGAATCCAAGGCCAAATTCGAGACTTGCAGAATGAACGCCACGAACTTCTTGGAGAGATTGATGATTTAAAGCGCGATCTCAGAAGGGAAGAACGCAAATACGACGATTTAAAGGACAAATACAAAATGCTCAAGCGGGATCGGTCCCAACATGATCAGATAGCAGACGGATACAAATACCGTTACGAACAGAAGCGCGACGAAGTCGAGTCACTCAGACAAAGTTTGAGGGAGAGAGATGAAGAGATATACTACCACCAGGAGAGACTCGCCGCTAAAGATCGAACTATACAAAAGAAGGATACCTTCATCGCTTACCTGGTCAAATTTTTGAGAAATACAGGTTATCATATTGTAGACGGAAGAATCAGATGAGAGGATAGATGAAAACTTCGAGGTACAAGGAACAAATTACATCTTTTCTGGCCCCAAACACCAAAAATATACTCCTCTTTCACCATATCCAATGAAATGGACTTCGGGACGGATCGCACTCGATTCTGGAACTCCCGAGACGCCGAGATCAGCGCTTTCCTACCTTTGTTCATTGGTAGTCGGATTTTTCGTGCCGTCGCATGTCGCGGATGCTTAAGTTGGGATTTGTGTAACAGTAGTGCATGGAAAGCTAGATCTTGGTAAGCCATACATTGGATGGTCTCTTGTCGTGTGTGGTTGACTGACTTGGTCTATTTTAGTTCTCTGGTTTAGTTTTATGTGGTGTCTTGTTTTAGATTTCTTATTGTTTCGTTTTGTATGAGGTAGCTGTGAGAGAGGGGCACCAGGGGTTATGTTCAGAGTGTTCCGTTGCGTTTGTAGCTACGCGAATTCTTGAAGGAGGGCGTGAGGGAATTTCTACTTTTAGTAATGACTGGGATGAGTGATGATGATGACGATTTCTTTTGTACGATAATTTTCTCTTGTGTGATGTTGTATTATAGGTCAAGCTTAATTGAAATCAATGCGCGCGAATCGTTAGTTTCCAGGTTAGGGTTGCAACATTCAAGTTTGTTGGGTACCTTTCCTTCCGAAGTACATGAGCTGAATTGAGCTTAGATCTATTTTGAGGTTACAGATGAATCACTGTTGATCTTGGAGTTGGCTTTTTGTGGTTGTGTTGTGTTACGGTTCTAGAAGAATCGGTATGGGTAGTACAAATAATTTGATTGTTCTGGTCTTTTGGATGAGTAGAGTTTAGAGTTGATTGTGCCGGTTCTTTTGGATAGATGAGGATGAGTAAGGTTTTGTTCCAAGTTATGGTTGAATGGCTACTTGGAATCCTATCGTGATTAATGTTTAATCTTCCTACCTACACCTGAGGCCCTTTGAGAAACCAAGCCAAATTTTCAAGTCATTTTCTTCGTGATCACGAGCGTTGAGCTCATGCTACGCTGTGAACGCCCAAGTCTTCTGGGCTGAACACACTTCTTCTCTGTGTGGCTACATGAAATCCTGCTACCTTTACCAACTGTTTAATCTTCCTACTTGTACCATACCTGAACTAATTCAATCTTGCCACGAAAACATGTCTGTAACTCTTTCGGGAAACAGGTCCACTGTATTCGCGGCCACAGGTATCGAGCTGTCATCTGAACGATTTTCCTTCCAAGGAGCAAGTGTAAGCTAGTCCATTCCACATCTTTCTGAGATCATCTTCCCTCTTCTATGAGGCTGGAATTTCCAGATTGGGAGGGGGTGGGGGCGGAAAGGTGTCAGATTTCGCCTGTTCTTGTTTCGGGGAATAAAATGGATTGGTGCGGGTGATGGATGTGGTGGTACAAAGTGATGGCTTGGGAAGAGAATCTTATTCTTATTCTATCAAAAACCGGATTTGGTTTTACGTATAGCGTGCTCTTGCTGTTCTTGATGTTCTCAAGTGTTTAAAATAAAAATAATACGGTCGAAATGAGGCTAGATCCATCCGAATCTAAATGTCAGATAGAATGAGAGCACCCCCGAGTGGGTTTCTCCGTGAAAACTGGGCAGCTGGATGTGTAAAAATAAGATGAAACAAATCGAAACAAAATATTTTCCTCGTGTTCTGTAAGGCTGTGGGAGAGAGTGAAAGGATCTGCGAAACGATTCCCTGATTTCAAATCTTTACATCATCGGTTATGGTTATTTCCTTATCATAATATGTGAAGGAAAAAGCAAAAATAGATTCGGTGAAGAAGCCGGTGTAGAGATGGAGAATCCGGTGACTCGGCAGGATTTCTGAGTGGAAAGATGATGTGCTTGGAGAATTCAAATGAGATGGACGCGATGGAAAGAGGGGTAACAAACGGAAGAGAGGGGTTGATGCTTGCAAACGGATTATGAGTCCAAAGATGTTTATGCGTACGCAGTAGAAGTTGTTAGAATAGGCAGCATGCGAGTAGATGACCCTTAGGCGGATTGTGATTGGTTACATGTTTCGTTTGCACAGAAGACGGAGGACTCGCTGATCTTCCACTGGGGTTTTTGCGCATCCACTTTCTCTCGCCAAGCCTCCTGGGAAAAAAAAAAGGGGGGGCACTCTTGTTCAACCCACCACTCCCACGCGTACCATCACAAGCAGCGGCCCGCCACATCGGTCGCATTTCATCTCATTTACGGAGCTGTCAAGAAATATAATACCACCATTGATGACCAAACCCGGATTTTCTCTCTAGAAAGAGGCTCTTTTCTAGGCTGACCGCAGCCCTATTGTCATCCGACAAGCGAACCACTAGACCATGATAAATCAACTTGGCAGTTTTTCGCTGGCAAGGCAACTAGGCAGTGCAGGCTGCCTATCCCTCTCTTACCCAATCCCACACCCCTTCATAATTACAATCCTCGCTTCGTCCCGTCCCTTCGCCCTTTACCATTGTTTGATGACTCTTGTCTCGCAAGGAGGCCCCTCGATTCCCCCTTCGGCTGTCGGTGGGTCTGCTGGACCACATGCCGATGAGCAGTAGGAAGATTCGAGGAGGGCCTTGTTTAGAGCCTACCTGTATGCTGAAAAAGGAAAAAGGTGAGTAGAGATGTAGGCAGCAGCCTGGCAACCTAGTTGTTCCTGGTTGGAGTAGTAGGTCAGTAGTAAGTGTCAAATTAATAAAGTAAATGGACTGTGGTGTGTGTGGGTGGTTCCCTTTCTTCTTCTTATACATCTCTACTCAACCTTTCCACCCACAAGCGTACCTCGAACTTCGTTCACAGCCTCGTGGCATTGCTGTAATCCATACGATCCGTTCAGTTTAAAAAGAACGAGTAGCCTTACTTTTTTTCTGAGAACTTCTTGGATTATCCCTTCTACCTGATCCACTCGCCTGAATCAATCGGAACATTCTTTTTCTGGTTGGGCATACATACATCAACTTAAATCCACAACTTCAACACTTCTGCCTATAGCCTCACATCTCTACTGCATCGCAGCACTACCACGTGCCACCATCAACATGTTCTCCAACAAACCAAAGAAGAATGTTCATGTTCATTACTCGTCGACTACCAAGGGAGGAAAATCCTCATCCAGCCATCATGCTCCAAGAGAGAGTCGAGATTCCGGAATTGGATCATCTAGTGCTTCCGATCGAGCCTCAATTGGTACGTCGCCTTACGAGTCACCTTTCAACTCTCAGGAAATCCAAAATCAACGTCAAAACCCTAACGCTTTGAATGAAGCTCTCAATGCTGCGAATGAGCGGAATGGTCGTTTCGAAGACAATATCATCGGCCTGAAAGACGAATTGAAAGATAGTAATCGGGAAAATCGCCTACTTAAAAAGGAAAAGTCCGATGCGCTAGAAGAAAGCCAATCACTTCTGAAAGAAAATCAATCACTTCTGAAAGAAAACAAATTGCTACAGGAAAAAATCAAATCTTTGCGTGAGGAACTCAGTTTAGAGCGAAGAGACAATGATAAATTGTTAAGGGAGAAAGAAGTACACTCACGATCGAGCTCCACGACCTCCAATGCCTCATTGCATTCGGCCCCAAGAGATTCAAAGGACAAGATTTCGAGACGATTCAGTATAAGCCAAGGCACTCGACCACCTCAAGCTCCTCAAGCTCCACAGAACAGTGCTTCTTCACATAAGCCTCCCAATCCATTCACGCCCCTCACCGAAAGACTAGGATACGGAGTACCAACGCCAGCTTCGTATGCATCACCCACACCTTCAACTGCATCCTATGCACCCTCTGCCGTCTCATATGCAACATCCAATATATCATATTCAACTGTACCAGCTTATTCTCACCACACGGCGCCAGCTATAAGACCAAGTTCGAAGCGATCGTCCAAATCATATCAACCACCGCCTATCGAAGATGGAGACTACCATGCTCATCCATTATAATTGCGCTCTCACTCGAGGAATGGTTGTTTGTATTTGTATCGAGACGGATAAAATGGTACATGATGTACATGAACATACGAAAAATGGTTGCAGCGAGATCGGAGAAGCAGGCTAGTTTATGATGGATGACCTGCAGCATTACCCCGCCTTACGAATCGAGTCACCACTTTCCGTTTCGGGATGGATGTGGGAACACCATTGTATCTGGGTAATTGGATTTGAGGCTCTGTTAATGTTTTCTGGAAGCTCACTTCCTGCGGTTCTTCGCGGCCTAGGAAGGAGGAATCCCGATTTCGGCTATTTCCTTCCTCATCGGTGCATCTGAGTACACTAGTAACTTCGGATCCGCGTCCGAATCGTCCATATTCACCGATTGAAAAGCGTCACAACATTTCGATTCACACCAATTCAAAGTTTTACTTCAATAAAAAGCTTCTCACATCAAAAACCAACAACAACGAAAACAAGAAACAAGAAGAAAATCCGGAAAAATGCCCCAATTCTACTCCGAAATCCCACCACATCTCCAGACCTTCGCCCTCTCCCAACCCCTCTTCTTCATCTCCTCCGCCCCAACCCATGGATCCCACATAAACCTCTCTCCAAAGGGTCTCCCCTCCACAACATTCACGATCTTTTCGCCCACAGAATGCGCATACATAGACGCCACCGGTTCAGGCGCAGAAACCATCTCACATCTCTACGAGAACGGCCGTGCAACCATAATGTTCTGTTCCTTCTCTGCTTCTCCACGAATCGTGCGCTTCTTCTGTACAGGCAGAGTCGTGGAATGGGATACACCGGAGTTTCAAGTGTTAGTTGGCAAGATGGGCAAGAAAAAGGTCGAGGGTGCGCGGGCGGTCTTGCTTTTCAAGGTTTGGAAGGCGCAGAGTAGTTGTGGATATGGAGTTCCTCGGATCAACCCCCCCCAACTTACAACTTCTTCTTCCACGTCACCTAACCCGTCTTCTCCCTCCACCGACTCTCCTACTTCTCCATCTATCGAACATCACGATGAAGATAAGGCAGCTTTCCTCGACCGCGAAATCCTCGGTCATTGGGCAAGCAAACAAATTGAGAAAAACGAACTAGGTGCTTACCAAATTAAAAATAATCTGTCTTCTCTCGATGGATTACCTGGGTTGAAGACAGCGAGGAGGGAGGCGGGTCAGAATCTTCTTTTCGTTGATTTCGTTGCTTTTTGTAAAAGGGTTCTGGCGCAGAGGGAGGGGTTAATGGTGGGACTTTTGATGGGACTTTTGGTTTATGTTTTTGGTGTATTTTTATTTTAGCGACTTCCTTTTTGTTGCCTGGGGGGCTTGAGATTGGAATTTGTTTTCTTCAGTTAGGTTTTCACTGCTCGGAGCTTGCGTGTTTGCTTGTATTAGTTTGTATTGGTTCACTTTCCTTTGAATGTACTTTATCTGGTGGGTTGAGCTTGCTATTTGCGATATATACCTGGGGCTTTTATCTGTTCTTGAATTTGTCTGTTTTGGTGTTACATTACTGTCTTTGTTTATATCCTGAGATTGTTGTAAAAAGCTTTTTATTAGTATTGGTCTAGCTATCCTGAATCCCTACCAAAAAGAATCAATGAATAACTTCAATTTACCTTCTCAAATTACTCTTCCACGACCCCCATCCTCTACTAATCACGCCTCCTAATCCAACCCAATCTAAACATCCCCCACCCCCTCATACCCCCTCCAAACCCTCCAAGCCTCCTCCCCAACACCAGCCACCACCTTCCCCCCCTCAATAACAGCCTTCCTCTCCCCCATCACAGTCCCCCCCTCCACCATCCTAATATGCGTCATCACCTCCCCATCCAAAAACCTCCTCTCATCCACAAGCACAACCTCTTGATAGTATCTCACAACCCATCGCGGGATATTTTCTGATTCCGGTGCTATGAGGAGGGTGAGCAGGAGTGGGGTGATTTGGGTTTCTGCTGCGCCGTCCCAATCTGAGAGGGCGAGTGATGGATCTGAGATTGAGGTTGAGAGAGGGGCGTGGATCTATTTTTCAGATTGTGAGGTTTGGAAGGGGAGATTGGGAAGGGGTGAGGATGGAATAGAAAGGTACCTGGATGTAATTTTCTACTTTACAATACAGGAATAAGGGAACTATTAGTTGGGCGTGTTTGTTGTACCAGTGTTCTGAGAACTCTTTTTGCGTCGTGTCGGGTTTGCGTTTTAGAAGACCTTGGGGATTCATGATGTTTATTTTGGAAAGGGGACTGGGTTTGTTGTGGGAGGTTCGTCTGTTTCTTTCTTTGAATTCTGGTTGTTTCGGTCAGGATCTGGGGTGTGATGTATGCTGGTTGCTTAGTAGGATCTACATGCCGCAGTGGATTGTCTGTGTCGCATTTAGCTATATTAGAAGGGCTGAATGGGTACTGGTAATATTGATTATGTTATTGGTGCTGTTAGAGAACACGGTAGTGTTTTTTGATTGTTGTTCTTATTCTTGTTCTGGTTGTGGTTTGCTGTCGTCGCTTGAGGGGTCTTAGGGGAGAAGAAATAGGAAAGCGTCGTGTTTTAGCCCTGGTAAAGGCTTAACTAAACCATGTAGTTCCTGCTAAATTGCTCATTTTTGTTTCATTTCTCTATGGTTCGTTTAGGGGTTAAGGCAGGGAGGGGTGTTCAATTGGGAGGCGCAGCGACATATTAATAAAAACTGGATTATAATAATTTAGCGGCAGTAAGTAGAAATGTAATTATCACCAACTTTTGGGATTTAGGCGTCAAAGAAGTTCAAGTATAAACTGTATGCGCTGGACTATGGGCCTTCTCTTTTGGAATGAAAGAATTTTACGAGGCAGGCTCTTTTGAACGAAAACAAACCTCTGTCTTGCACGCTATGTAGTAAGACAACAGGTCAGAAATACTACAGCAACTCTAAATATATATGAGAACTACTAGCTAACTTATACTTAAGTCAATTTCTATGTTAGTATTCCTTAGACAGTTCTTTTGGCTTGTTATTATACAGTGCTACGAGTTAGGATCGGAGTGGAATATGTATCATTCTGCAGGTATTAATAAGGGAAGAGATACTTGAGTATTTTGAAGGCTTTAATTTTATGCTACAATATAGAGTGAAATTCGCTTTCAGGGAGTTTAATGCGGTTGTCATTGAAATTCTTTAATAAAGAGAGATAAAATTATCTTTCTCGTATACTAAGAAACATTATAACTTAGGAAATAGAGGAGGGAAGTAGATAAGTAGGCCGGTCAGATTCTCCTAAAGCTTCTTTGGCTTATTAACACCACGTGAATAAGTCTGTTTTCTCCAATCATACTTACAGTCCCTCTTACGATCCGCCTCACAGCCCTCCTCACATTTCTTTTCGCAATCTTTCTCGCAGTTCCTCAACAGTTCCCAAAATTCCTCGAGTATATATTTAATATCTCATCAGCCATAGTTCTTTGGAAGACACGAACCTCACTATCAACTTTACCCTTTGATGTGAAAGGCACCTTGAGTTTCCACCAATTACCCTTTATGTGTTCGATGGGATACACTTTTTTGCATGCAGCACAATGAGCTTCATCTTCACCCTCGCTCCGAAAGGATAACAGCAGACAATAAATCGCCCCGCCTAGCGTTTTAGTATCGCATTATGGACGTCCCTCTTCCTCCTCCCCCTTCTCAGGCGTTCCATCGGCCATTAAGTCCCTTGGAATTACCTTTTGCATGCTAATGAGCTGGTTGAATCTTAAGAGCTCACCTAAAGCCCAAGCTTTGACTGAATTCTGCGTGAAAAGATTCCTGCTTCTGTAGCAATTTGCTCCAAATTTCTCGCGACTGCTGTGCACGAGAAGTTTTCCATACGCCTGTTTCAATTTTGTTGAAGTTCCGCAGTATTTGCAATGCTCCTGTGATAGCGGAAGGTATTTTTGTAGGGCTTCCTTCTTTGGTTTCTTCGTTGTGCTATTGTTTGGGATTTTGGGTGACTCCACTGGTTGGAGTGCAGCATCCTGATCTGGTGACTTGTCACTGGCGATTTCAGACATTTTGACGTTAATGGTAAGCCTGCACGAGTATAATATTCTATTATATACGGCAACAAAAACCAGAGGATCAACATCGCTTTTAACCTTCCATCCAACAAAGAACATCACCAAGATATTAACATCTACGGCGAAGCTTTCCAACACCAACAATTCAAGCCCTTTTGCCCAGGCGATTGTGTTACAAGAAATTGAACTCACCTACACACGAATCAACAACCTACAATTCCAAGGTAGTTGTAGAACCCAATACAATTCTTTCATGACCAAGGGTTTTCTTGCTAAGCCACTTCGTAAACATGCCATCTCAAAGACGATGTTAGTAGTAACTGTTGGTTTCTTTGATTTGCTCTGTTGGTAAGACGACATACCCTAACAAACCATCCCAATTACCACCCACAAAATAGTCCCCTCTGAACCAGCAGCGTATGAAAGAAATACTCGGCTGATTAAATAATAGCCTCATTATATATTCTTCTCCTTATCTCTATTTCTATATAACCTCTCGCTTCTTAGACTTATTATTATCTCTAGAGTCCTTTAAGAGCCTAATCCTTATTATAATTAATAATATCAGCTATCTAACTAAACAAACGCTTACTAGCCGCACTTATTATAGGTATCTATAAATACTCCTCGCTAAAGTAAATATTAGGTAGACCGATAAACCAGATCTAGAGTTCCCGGGTACGCTATAGAGCACCAGGCCGATTAGCGTAACTCTATTTAATTAGTACTCTAGCCTACTTACTTCTTAGCGAGTATGTTATAGTAGGGCTAAAATCTACGTAAGTAGAGTTAAGTGGGTGCCTTTACTCTGCTCTACTCTACTCATTTAACACGCTGCGAATGAGGGATCCAAATTTCTTCTAATAATACTAGAGAGAGCTTAGGAAGCGAATTCAGGAAAGCGTTAAGATATCGCTCTGTATAACTGGTGAAATTAGATAGGTAAAGCTAATCCAGCCAGGCAAACAAGAGCGGGAAGAAAGGATAGAATACGAGCTTCGTACGTTCTCATACGTCTCTACCTTTGGGTTCCTACAGAAGCTCTACTACCCTCCGAGTCCAAATATTAGCTGGATCTCTTGCTTTTGAAGATTCTTTATCTGCCTACTCTTAGGTATGGTCCATACTTCCTTACTACAGAATACTTTATAACTTACCAATAAGCCTTAATCTCAAAATATATATAACCACATTGTAAATCCACCTCCCCCCTCCTCTCCCATCCCCATCCCCCTCCTACACCACCCACCTCCTAAACCCAACATGCCACATCCCCCCACCCGCAACCTCAAAATCCCTAAGCCCAATCTCCTGACTCAAACCCGACATGATCTCGGTAGCCAGTCTATGTTCCGGTGCTTCCCGCCATCGCATGTGTGTTTCTATGCTATCGTATCCGAAGACGGCTACTAGCGCTAGTGACTCCTCTTCGCCTTCTCTTCTTTGATGGATCTTATTTTTGAGTTTGGGGGATGTTGGGAGGACTAGGGGGAATGGAGTTGTTAGTTGGTATGGAAGTTGGGTGGAAAGGGATGATAGAGGTGGTGGGGAGAGGGAATAGGAGAGGAAATCGATCTTCAAATCAATAAAAGGATAGATAATCAAACAAACACCCAACCCCCCACCCCCCAAAAGAAAAAAAAATGCAACGAAAGAAAAGAAACACAAACCCCAACTAGCCCCACTCCCCACCGCACCCCCCACACTCCTCACATCCCTTCCAATCTGCGCCGTTGCATCATCGAACCTCTTCCTCTCCTTCTCCCCCGCCGTATCAGGGAGAGAGCAGAATGCGATTTCCGTTACGGGTGCTAGGGCCGCGGGTGCGTAGTCGGTTTCGTATTTGGTGTGGACTTTTGCTTGCTGTTAGAGGAGTTTATTCGTAGAATTTGAGTTCCGATTTATATAAGGTGAGGGGAGGGTGTGGATTTGAATGAATGAAGGGGAGTGGAAGGGGAGGGTGTGGTTTAAATGGGATTCCAATAGAGAGAAAGAATGATGAGGAAATGAACGGACGTACTTCTGAATATCTCATCCTTAGCACTGATATCAAATACTTCTTCCATCTTCTCCAGAAACCCCGGGTACTGTTCGGACTCCATGAACCTTTTATGGTACTCTATGCTCGCCCAATCGATGAGCCATACGAAGATAGTGGGGTCTTCGATTTTATGGCCCTATTGTTTCTCATTAGTTTGTGTTCTTGTTCATTGTTTTGGAGATTGAAGGGGGGGGGGGGAGGAGAGGAGGAACTTTGGGGTATGAGGATTATGGCGTGGGAGATGGGATGTGAGGGAGAGGGAGAGGGAGAGGATAGATAGCCGAGTCTGGGATTCTGTGTTGGGTATGGGGATGAGGATGAGAGTGAGCTCTTCACATCTCCATACCTCCTTTCCCCTTTCCCCCTCACCACCTCCCTCTCCCTCTCCCTACCCCAAACCTCAAATCTCAAACCCAAACCCCAATAAAAAACCCTACCCAAAACCCCCTGACAAATCCACTCCTCTCCCTACTCACCCTCCTTAACTCCCTCAACTCCCCAAATTTCCCCGCGTTCCCTCCTTTCTCTCCTTCCCCTCCTTGGTCTCCTTGGTCTCCTTCCCCTCCTTGGCCTCCTCCATCCCTTCCATTCCCCATCTGGAGGGAATCCATAAAGTCGCACACCAGCTTTAACTTTCAAGACGATGGTTTCTGTTATGGAGTCTGGGTACTCTGGGGAGTTTGGGGACTTTGGGGGTGAAGACATATTGAGGGTTGAGTCGAGGTGGTAAGATGGTAAGTGGTGGATGGGAGGGATGGGATAGGTGGGTGAAGAAATGAAGGGTTGAGATGGGATGGGAGAGGTGAGGAGAGGTGAGGTTAAAGTGAGAGAGAGAAGAGAGGAGAGAGGAGAGAGAAACGCAATTGGCTGGCGGTACGAGGAAAGTGATATGAGGTGAATAATACCTGAACAGAATACCCGCTGGAGACCAACTACCTAACTGAAAAGATTCATCTACTTATATCTTTCCTCCAATTCCATACTCATAGGTAGGAAAATATTATAACAAACTGAATCAGTACCTTAGCACCTCAAAACCTATCAACCTCAACCTCATCCCCCTCCCTCTCACCCCCTTCCGCCCCCAAACGAAGTAAAAGATCGGGGAGAGGGGAGTAAGCACACCACACCTCTCACCTCTCACCTACCACACCTCTCACACCCTACCTCTCACCTTGCCATTCACCCCACTATACAAGCACACATACATACAAACAAATCATCCTCACCAGCTACAGTACCCAGGTACCCTATAGAATACACAATAGAGTCATCTCATCATCTCATCATCTCATCCATAACCCAATTCACCCACCTCATCCACTCCCCTCAATTCACTAGGTATTCAATGCAACACAATACCATACCATCTCATACTCAACTCTTCTCTACTCTACTCTACTGTCTGTCTGTCAGTTCCCGTGCTTTTATACAATACAATGCAATACATCACATCACAACACAATACAACACAATAAATCCCCAATCACCAATCCCAAAATCCAAGCATCCAATAAACATAGACATAAACACAAACCACCCACCAACCCCACAAAACCATTCCTTGCCTTGTGAAAAAAAAANAAAAAACATTCGCTAATTCGCCAACAAAACAACACCACAAAAACCAAGCAAGCGATAAAAAAAAAACGGGAGGGCAGAGGGACGAGAACAGGCTAAACTTCATAACGGACATTAAATTGCTACACCATTCCCCTTCCTTCTCATTTTCCTAATCCATTTCATAAAAAAACCTCATAACCTCATACAATATCCATTCATCGATCCTAAACCCCGGACCAGACCAGACCAGACCAGACTAGACACACCCACAGATCCCGAATCCCAAGTCTCATATAAACAAGAGAAAAAAAAGGGGGGGAACTTGCTTGGCCATAAAATCCTATTTACTCATTTCAAAAAAAATCTCATCTCATTTCTAAGACAAAGCGAAATGAGGTTCTTTGGGGTATCCTGGCCTGGTCCAAGACTGCCGAGGATCTTCCAATTCGTTGCCATATACAATTCATAACCACTCAGGGAATCTATTCCTCACGAGCGACCATTATCCTCACGAACGTCACCTCCCAGCGGTATGCAAATTAACATTACTTCTTCCCATCTCGCCCTCCTTTCTCTTGGCGAGAAGACTCTTGAGCGCACCAAGTGCCTTATCCAATGTATCTTCATCCCTCGCACAGAACTTGTAACTCTTCTCTTCGGTGATAACTTGCAAACAGTGTCTTTTGGTTTTACTCAGGGGGTCGATTTCGACAGCGTTAATGACGTTTGGCAGACGTATTAGGAGGATGATGGAGTATTCGGAATCGTTTTTATACAGAGATATGCTGTTTCGACGGATAACAGCCCAAAGAGATTTCCATTGTCGGACTCCGCCTTTGGATTTTAAGTATAGAAGATTACCTTGCCAGACGACTCGTTCAGGATCGTTGTCGATGTTGAATCCACTCATTTGACTCGCGTTTCTAGCACCATAGGGTGGTCTTGAGGATGAGGATGGTGGTTTGACAGCGAGAGGTTCTTGGAATGAAAGTGTAGAAGCTCCAGGCATTCGACTTGTTTCCATATCGGAAAAGTCCGATTGTGAGGCTAGCTCATTGCCAGAATAATCGATGGTCTGCGACAACCGTCTAGCAGCTGTAATGGGGTTGAACTTCTTTTTCGACACCTTGGATATAGGTTCCGTAGGCTCAGGTGAACTGGAACCCAAGCGTTCATCGTGTAATCTTCTCTGTTCGCTGTGGAGATGAAATGCGCGTCCCAGACCGGCGTATGAACTAGTAATTAAGCCTCCAGGACTACCTAGCAACAACTCCTCTTCCTCTTCCTCAATCCGCGCTTCTTGTCTTATCAAATTGACCCATTCCTCCGTGTCTCCTTTTGTCGTTGACTCCAGGTGGTAATTTCTCGAAGGGGAGAACAGTCCAAAGACATTGTGTCGCTTTTGTTTTGGATCCTTTAATTTCGCGACGGCTGTCAGATCAGAGAGGTGGATCTTGTGTTTTAATTTTCCTTCGTTTTCGTTTTTGTATATGGAAAGAGAGTTTGGTCGTAGCACAAGGTATATTGGTTTCCAATTCTACGGGGTCTGGTCAGCATGACGAGATGATGCAGGATGGGCTGATTGTTTGTTTACCTTGGTCTTGCGGGTTCGTTTCTGGACATAACCAGCCTTCAACACACGATCAAACTCGAAACTTCCATTTTGATTGACGGGCGAGAAAGAATCTAGTATGAGATGTGAATTTCGAATTCGACTTGCCGAGGTAGATGCTAGTAGATCGACTTGGGTTGGGGGAGGTATTGAGAGAGGAGCAGTGGCTTTTGATGAGATAGGACGAGAGTGACTGTTTGCCTCCTGAGGCGTGGCCGTCGCGTGCTGCATATCGGCCATCATGATGAAGTTTCTTTTCGTAGGGAATGGTAGTCGATGAGGAGGTTGGGTTGAGATGTTTTGATTTTGGGGAGGTTGGTATGGTAGAAAAGTCGGGTGGGTACTCTGTGGGAGCACTGCTGCACCGGCGCTTTTGGCTTCTCGAATTAAGGTTGAAAGAGGGGCGTGGGAGTTGGATTCACGGAGTATTGGTTCTGGGCGGAGATGGATAATGGATCTCCAAGGTGGTCCAGGTACAGGTGGAAGTGCAAGAAGTGGGTGCAGGTGGGACTTGAGAGCGGATGACGAGTGACTTGGGTGAGGATTAAATTTCGGTAGTGTAGGAGGTCACTGTCACTGTCACTGTTCATCTGGCTGAGCAGTGTTGAGCGAGTGTGTGTTTAGGCTCTAGGCCAGTCCAGTCGGTGTTGGGCGTGGGATTGGTCAACGGTTGCAGCTGCTTCTAGAAGACAGTACCAGTCGCATACGGAGTACAAACCAGCAATTCTACAGAGACACTGCCGCTTCTTATTCGTTGGGGTTTTTTCCGTAGACGATGCCTGCGCCTGCAGCCAAGATTCCAAGACCATTTGGATGTTGTTGTTGATGTTTGGACTGTTTTCAATACGATTGACTTCAGAAAAGCGTCATCGTCGTTTTACCGAGGACTCCGTACAGGCCGGCCGGATTGGAGGACTTTTACTTCTACTACTCCGTACCAGTACTACATCGTATTTGCTCCGTCAAGAGAGGTTCCAACACTTCTCTCAACCCTCGAATGAGAGATGATTTCAGGTACTTGTACGGAAGTCAAATGTCCACTACACATACGACAGGTCCAGGTCACGCCAGAACAGCCATGATCCATCATACGTCCCAGTACGATTCCCTGATTGATTGGAGTCTCGAAGCTTAAATCAGATGCCAGATGCTGGCGATGCCTGATCTGATGCTGGCGATGCCTGTGGCTGGCTGTGGCCGCAACTGACGCTGTGCACAGGCGCCCGAGTTGCCCGCACAAAATGGGGTCAGGAGGACCCTACTGGTTGGTAGAGCTTCGGACTATGAAACCATCTAGGATGACGATGGGGAAGACAACCTCTCTCAGCGAATCATCCATAGAAAAATTGGTTAGAGACCCGATTCAGATTCATCCAAAACATGGAAAGGAGCCTGTCAAATGTGAAATCGATGCATCTGGCCCGGTGCTGTGTGCCTGAATACCTGAGCGCTTTCGACTCTACGGAGGTACAGCGGCACTCCTGTCTTCTCTCATAGGAAAGTTTATCGAGTACGCCGGCATCGCGACTATTATTCTATTATTGGCTTGCATTGATCTATCGACCTGTCTACCGACACGAACTATTCAGCGGCCACTCCACGACCACCACACAGATCTCAGACGCAATGCAATTCTAGAAGTAGTTCTAATTCCAATTCTATTTATAGTATAGCTGTCTCGTTGAAACCAATCCAACAAATCATTGGAAGTGTACTGGTGGTACTTCTACACTTCTGGAAATGGCCCCGAAGACCTCCGTACAACATTCGATCACGTGTCGTCGACTCGGTATCGGCACCGGCTTCGGGCCCTTTTATGGACAAACTTCCCTTACTTGTACTCGAGTACACTCATAGAACTGCCATTTTATATATGACAGCATAACTAATAGTAGTCATAGTTGAAGCTACTCATATTCTTAAGTGAATAGAGAAATTAAATCAAATCCCACAATATACATCAGTAGGTTCTGGAGCAAGCTTCATTCGCAGGTACTGTACAAAGGACCCCTCCACTGCGTCATTTCGACTCACCCTGACAAAAATAATCTTCACCTCTTCCACCAGTTTTATATTGCGCCAACAACCACATCAGGTTCCATATCTTACCAAGCTAACACAAGATACCCCTTCAAAATGCCCGTGGTCAATCCAGATAAGCTGGTCGCTTTACAGCGAAATCCAGATAATATCAGGAATGTAAGTTCCCCCTGGCGGGGTAGTTGGGCGCATTCTGTAACTTGCGATTTCTGTGCATGATCAGCTAACAGAAGCTTTCAAGATTTGCATATTAGCCCACGTTGTAAGGATCCCTTCCCATACGACTGCGGCGGGAAAAAGCTAAGATAGATACAACAGGATCATGGAAAAACTTCCCTCACCGACGCCCTCATCGCCACCAATGGCATCATCTCCCCCAAACTCGCCGGCAAGATCCGCTACCTCGATTCGAGACCTGACGAACAAACCCGAGGTATCACAATGGAATCCTCAGCTATATCCCTTTACTTTGCCATGCTTCGTAGAAATGCCCCCGATGCGACGCCCGAGCAGAAGGAATACCTCGTCAATCTAATTGATTCTCCTGGTCACATAGATTTCAGCAGTGAAGTCTCGACTGCCTCGCGATTATGTGATGGCGCGGTGGTCTTAGTGGATGCCGTGGAGGGGGTGTGTAGTCAAACGGTTACCGTGCTAAGACAAACTTGGGTGGAACATATGAAGCCTTTATTGGTGATAAATAAGATGGATCGATTAATTACCGAGTTGAAGATGACTCCCGGGGAGGCTTACACACATCTCAGCAAGTTACTGGAACAAGTCAATGCTGTGTTAGGTAGTTTCTTCCAGGGTGAGAGAATGGAGGAAGATCTGAATTGGCGCGAGCGCGTGGAAGAACGAGTAGCCGCGGCCAAAGAACAAGAAAAATCTGGCAAGGATCCCAATGGAAAGAATGGAACAGAGGTTGATATCGATGGTATGTCGACCCCACCGGCCGACTTTCAGGAAAAAGATGACGAGGATATTTACTTTGCGCCCGAGAAGAATAATGTAATTTTTAGCAGTGCTATTGATGGTTGGGCCTTTACTGTACGACAATTTGCAAATTTATACGAAAAGAAATTGGGGATCAAAAGGACGGCTATGGAAAAGGTGCTTTGGGGTGATTTCTATCTAGATCCAAAAACGAAAAAGGTTTTGTCGCAGAAGCATCTGAAGGGGAGGAATTTGAAGCCGATGTTTGTCCAGCTTGTTCTTGAACAGGTCTGGGCTGTTTATTCAGCTACTACTGGTGGTGATCGTGGCAAGGGGTAAGTAGGCCAGGTTTTTTGTGGAATGTTTTGCATACCATTAAGTTTCATATGCTTACTCGCTTAGGGACCCTGCTATGGTGGAAAAAATTACAAAGGGTCTAAGTATTACTCTTCCAGCACATACCCTACGTTCAAAGGATCCCCGCGCTATTCTCACAACTCTATTTACCGCCTGGTTACCTATATCGACAGCGCTATTGGTCTCTTGTATAGAATCATTACCGTCACCTCCAGTCGCCCAAGAAAGTCGCCTTCCAGATCTAATTGAAAACTCCCCCGGATCTTCTCATGTCGACTCAGTTATCCGAGAAGCCATGATCAAGTCCAAAAGTTCCGAAAATGACCCAGTTGTGGTGTACGTGAGCAAAATGGTTTCAATACCAGAAAGCGAGCTGCCAGAGAACAAACGCCGTGGGGGGATTGGTGGTGCTTTAACACCAGAGGAAGCGAGAGAAATGGGGATAAGAAAACGAGCGGAAATTGCTAGGAAACAAGCTTTAGAAAGAGAAGCAGGAGAGTCTGTTGATGGGATTTCGAATGCGCTTAGCGATGCGAATGTAGGAGCAGCAGAACCCGAAGAGAAACCACCAACTAAAGAACATTTGATTGGTTTTGCCAGGATATATTCTGGCACTTTATCAGTTGGCGACTCGGTATACGTTCTATCACCCAAATTCTCACCCGCGGACCCACATCACTCCCCAGAGCCGAAAAGGGTCACGATTACGGCATTATACCTACTTATGGGCCGTGGTCTTGAACCATTAACCTCTGTACCTGCAGGTGTGGTCTTCGGAATTGGCGGTCTAGAAGGTCACATCCTAAAATCAGGTACGCTCTGCAGTCAACTCGAAGGAAGCGTCAACTTGGCAGGTGTAAACATGGGTACCAAACCCATCGTTCGCGTCGCACTTGAACCTGCATGGCCCGGAGATCTCGATAAGATGATTGCGGGCCTAAAATTACTTGTTCAGAGTGATCCTTGTGCGGAATATGAACAATTTGCTAGTGGTGAACATGTTTTACTTACAGCTGGGGAATTACATCTTGAAAGATGTCTTACGGATTTGAAGGAGAGGTTTGCGAATTGCGAGATTGAGGTTGGAGAGCCGATTGTGCCATATAGGGAGACGATTGTTAGAGCGGAGGAAATGAAACCTGCTGCTAATAAGGAGCTTGGGAGGGGGGCGGTTATTGCTACCACCCCTTCGAAACAGGCTTCTGTGAGGGTACGGGTTGTGCCTTTACCGACTGAAGTCACGAATTTCCTGATCAAGAATTCGGCTGCAGTACAGAAATCTTTCTTACAGAGACAGGCTGAGGAGAAGGATACGCAGAGCGGAGGTGTAGGAGAAGATGATGATTCTGATGACGTGGATGAAGAGGCTGGGTTGGATACTGCAAGGGCTTTGTCGCCTGTTGAGTTTAAGAAACAATTGATGGAGTTGTTTGCGGAGGCTGGACAGCAGGATCTTTGGAAGGGTGTTGTGGATAGGATTTCTGCTTTTGGACCACGAAGAGTCGGACCAAATATCTTGGTCGACAACACGAAGGATAATATTTGTGGACGTTTGTAAGTTGACCCCTAGTCTGAATCCCTCCTTTCCTCAATTTCTAACTTTTCCTAGCCTTGGCGAAGTCCCTCAAGACTCCAAACCAGAATCCACCACCAACAGCACTCTTCAACCCCTAGACTTCGCCGACAAACTTCGCTACGCATTCCAACTTTCCACCGCTAGAGGACCTCTTTGTAACGAACCTATCCAAGGAATAGCCGTCTTCCTCGAAGATTGCACTGTCACCCCCTCAATCGATGACAGTTCATCTGTGAATGAGAAACTTGGACGCATCACGGGTGAGGTTCTCAAGATGATTAGGGGAGCAATCAAGGATGGCTTTTTAGATTGGAGCCCGAGGTTGTTGCTTGCTATGTATAGTTGTGAGATCCAGGCTAGTAGTACGTCTTCCCCTTCTTCCCACCTTTCTCTCTGAAGACGAAAGCGACAAGAGAAGCCAAAGAGTTCATGAGAAAATGCTAATAAAACCCCCAGCCGACGTCCTAGGCCGCGTCTACGACGTCCTCACCCGCCGCCGCGGCCGCATCCTCTCCGAGTCCCTCAAAGAAGGAACTCCCTTCTACACCATCACCGCTCTCCTCCCCGTCGCCGAATCCTTTGGTTTCTCAGATGAAATCCGTAAGCGTACATCCGGCGCTGCCAGTCCGCAACTCGTCTTCCAAGGCTTTGAGATTTTGGATGAGGGAGGTGGTGGGGGTGACCCCTTTTGGGTTCCCAGAACGGAAGAGGAGATTGAGGATCTGGGTGAGTTGGCGGATCGGGAGAATGTTGCGAAGAGGTATATGGATGGGGTTAGGACGAGGAAGGGGTTGTTTGTTCAGAGGAAGGGGGTTGAGGGGGAGAAGGGGAGGACTATGAAGAGGTAGTGTGGTGTGGGGGTGGGGATGGTGATGGGGAAAAGGGAGGGCGGAAGGGATTTTATGAATTTCAGAGGGTTTTTTGTGATGGATTGTGGTGGCTGTGGATTGGTCGGTGATGGAAGAGCTCGAGTGAGATGATGAAAATTAAGTACGATATATCCAGCCAATCCACAAAAACATCATTGAATTACCCAGGATAGTAGCAACAGTAACAACACCAACAAACGTCACAACCAACAACTCGCACCGCTCATCCCAACATTTCCAATACAATGAGTTGGAAGTTGTTGGCTCATATTCCTCCCTTCTCTGTTCCCTCAAACTCCTAAGCTCCTGTTAAATTAATCAACAGAATTCTTAAGAATCAAGTCTCTCTACCTTCAACCTTTCCCCGGAAACATTAAACCGATTCGATTCCAACACATCCACCCTTCCCAACCCCCCTCCTCCCCTCTCGCATATCAAAATGCAAAACCCCCAAACCATCGCAATCCTAGGCGCCGGTCCCGCGGGTTTGGTAACAGCAAAGTACCTCCTCCCCCCGCCTCCTCCCTTCCTTCCTCCCTCCCTCCACTAAACTCCTCAGACATCTCTCGCAAACCGAGGCATTTACACAGATATCCATCTTCAAATCGCGGGACTCTGTGGGTGGAATTTGGAATTTCTTTGGTAAAAGGGAGAGGGAGAGGAATGGGGAAATATCCTATGTATGAAGATCTCGAGACTAATATTCCGAAATTTATGATGGGTTTTTGGGGATTGGGGTACGGGGATGAGGTGCGGCTTTTTCCTGGGAGGGGGGATGTAAGGGGGTATCTTGGGGGG